CAGACAGTATTTTAGCAGAAAACATTTATGACCTTATTTTGGAGTTGAACAGAATTTGTCCTAGTGTTCTGCTCTCAGTGGTTCCCCAGCTGGAGTTTAAATTGAAGGTAATTTCTTTGTTTGCAATCTGTTACTGTTTGAGAAGTCTGTAAGTAGTTATTATATGGGATGCTTGTGTGGTCAGATATGGAAATTCTTCACGTGCTTGTACTTCTCACTGAAATTAAGCCCTGTTGGCTGAGGTTACTATTTGAATGGGTGACCTCACATAATATCCTGTCTTGTTGACTTGCGATTTCATTCCTCTACTTTGAAGAATCAGAATTAAATTTATTATTTTCCATATAAAACTTAAGTGATTGTAGATGGTAACCTGTGCATCCCACGTTGATGCCTTCAGGCATCTTGTTTCTTGTAGTTTTAGTGACTCCCTTTGTAATTCTTGCTTCAATGAGTTTAGTAATAGATGATTTGGAGCTATTTTGAAGACCATTTTCTCTGGAGGCTACAAGGAAAATTGGAGTTAAGTCAAAATGGCCCTAGATTTGGCCAAAGGTTCTTAAACCCACAGTCTTAATGTCCTGTAGATTGGTACATTTTGAAGAAAGTAGTTTTTTCTACATAACAAAATCCTAGGATTCAGCAAAATGCTTGATTTTAACATTTTTTAATGATACAAAGCTAACATAATTTGTCTGGTAGCCTTAGCAGTATTTGCAGTAATTGCATTTGGTGGTGAAATCTTTTTTTGCAGAGTGAGGATGTGGAAGAGAGATTGTCAGTGACTGAATTACTTGGCCAGATGTTTTCTGAGCAGGACTCTGAACTAGCAACTCAAAATAAAGCTTTGTGGAACTCCTACTTGGGAAGGTGAAATTGCTGATTTTAGCTTCAAGTGGTCAGGAGGAAAAACATTTGATCCAATCTAAATTATAGTTACACATGACAGGTTGCTCAGGAGTGACCTGGGTTGGACTAGTTTTCCCCCTTGAGGGTGATGTGGGGATAGCTATGTGTAACAATGTTACTATGAGGGTTCATAACACTCCTGGAAAACCTGGGAAGTCCTGGAATTTTATTTTGACATTTTTCAGGACTGAAATCTGCTTAACACAAGCAATAAAGTTTTTAGAATTTATGTTAAAAGAAATGTATGTAGACTGTAGGGAGAATTTATTTCGAAATCCTAGGAATGGAAGGATTTGAGGTGAAATTTGGAGTCTTGGAAAAGTCAATCTGAGTCATGGAAAAGTCTTTGAAATTTGTTTCTAGAAAAGAGTAGAAAAACATGGTGTGAGCATATTTTTGCTTGAAAGTTCATTGGACTTGTTTCTTTTTCAATGTTTATTTTTAGATTTGTGGATATTAGTGTGGATGTGCGTGTGGAATGTATAAAAAGATGCAAGGAATTTTTGAAAAATCACCCAGACTTGGTCACAGATATAGGTGGTGAGTTTGAAAACATTCTTGAGACTTCATTTTGCGATCATTGTGTTCATGCTACCAGCACTCTTTAAGTGTTAATGTTTTGGTTGCTATGACAAGAAGAAAACCTTTTGGTGACTGAATTTGTGGCAAAGGTCCACAATTTGGTGACCTGCGTTTGGCAGTTATGTATCGTTTACTTAGGTGAGATAACCATTTGCATTTAATGTAATGCAATTTATTGCAGTTAGTTTCCTTTGTTACAGTATAATTTAATCAACCAAAAGAACACTACAATCTTACAAACTCAACTACTTTATTAAACAACTTGTAATATTCTTTATAAGGAACAAATCCCAAAGGTGTTTCGTTTAGAAAATACAGTTTAACAGTATTTCTGTTGCAATTCCATGCAAACTCTGTCAATTCAACAAATTAATTTTTAAAGGAGCTCATGATTTCTTTTCGCACTTTAGATAAACTTCATGAAAGACAACGTGACCCTGACGAGAGGGTTCGACAAGAAGTGGTCATTACCATCTGTGATGCAGCTGCAGAAAATATCAGTGGTGTCTCTGATCAGGTAATACTCTCTTTGCAGGGAGAAGGTCTGAAGGAAAGAAAAGAAGCAGTGTTTTTATTTAATGAAATCTTTTGTCCTGAGTATGATTGTGAAATTATCTGGTCATTACTGAGTCAGAGTGTTGCTAAGGTACATAGAGCAACTGGTGGAAGTGTATTGGTATAAAACAAAACTGTTTGTCAGCAAGTTCAGGCAATATTTATGTGTCTATTCTTTTTTTTATCATTATTTTCATAGCTTCTCAATGATGTATGTGAGAGAACAAGAGATAAGAAGGTAATTCCATTTATTCAGTTGCAAGGTTTTAATTGCAGTGGCCAAGTGGTTTGCACCAAATCCCTGAGTGACTTACTAAGTGGTGAACTGACTGACTGGCTGCCTAACTGACTGACTAACTGACTGACTGACTTACTGACTGACAGATGGAGTGAATGACTGTTTGACTGAATGATTGACTGGCTGTCTAACTGACAGACTGATGGACTAACCTACTGACTGACAGATGGAGTGAATGACTGACTGGCTGCCTAACTGATAGACTGACAAAGTAACTTACTGACTGACAGATGGGGTGAATGACTGTTTGACTGAATGACAGACTGGCTGCCTAACTGACAGACAGACTGACTGATAGACTGACAGTCTGGCTTACTGATTGACTGACTG